ATTGCACGTGTAAGAAAGCACCTCCCCCCTCCTTCTCCTCCTGTGCGGTGTTGTTTTTTCTCGTCACTATCAAAGTCAAATGGTCTGTTATGTCTAGAGCACAAGTCATGACTTCGAGAAAAAATCTGCGAAACAAGGAATTTGCTGATTCATTCAAATTCCGTTACAGCGGCTGATCTGTGGCGAATTAGTCGAGTCCTTTTGTTTGAGTGTGGTGAGCTGTGGGAGGCCTTAGTTGAAGCGTTAAGTCTTGTGTTTACTATACGGCTTACCATAGTGTTTCTCCTTCCTTGTCATGTTTGAATTTCCCGTTGTGCTTGTGGGTGACCCAGTGCACCACAGACTGACCTTGATAAGGCTTTGGTTTTGTTTTCACCTTCCCTCTTTTTTCAAAAAATTATTCATATTCTGTGCTTTTTCAGGGAATCGTTGGTACGACGTCGTCTGGTAAGACCTCTCTCGTCCATCGATATCTCACAGGAACTTTCACAGCAGAAGAGAGTCCAGAAGGTAGTTTTTTCTGTGTACACTAGTTTGAATTTGCAAAAGACTGTCGTATTCGCGCGAGTGCTCTTTGTTGTTCTTCGCGTCGTGAGAAGGTGAGGGATCGAGTGCGCAGAATCGTTTCCCATGGGCTGTAAACTGATTTGTCGCTTGTCAACTCGGGTCAGGGATGACAGGGTACGTTCGGGTCAGGACAGCGCTCCTGAAATTGAAATAGCCCTTCGACCATATTCAGTGAATCTATATAACAGAATGAGGTAGAGTGTATTCCATTCATGTCGTATTGCGATTTTCGAAAGCGAATATTTTGAACTTCGATTCCTAACAAGGACCACCACTGGCTGTGGACGGGTCGTAGATGTCATTTCGAAGGTAAAATATGGCTGTGGCTTTGAAACATTCGTAGTGGGAGGCGAACAGCTCGTTGCGCTTTGTCGTGCTTTATGGGACAACAACTGTCGCCTAGAGTAACCGGTCAACGTCTGTTTGCGAGGGTTGTGAGAAAATGATGACTGACCGGCGACCTGGCTATTCGGCCTCATTTTTTGTAGCTGTAATGTCGATGCATAGTCGTGTTGACTGTTCTAGTCCAATTGCCAAGTTTTTCAGGTGGTCGTTTCAAAAAGGAGGTTTTCATCGACGGTCTAAGCCATCTTCTGCTGATTCGCGACGAAGGCAGCGCTTCACCTGATGTTCAGGTTCGCTTTTGCTCACGAATAAAACTATTTTGATAGTCGCTAAATTTTCTCGTCTTTTCTTTGCTAACCAAGCTTTTATTCCTTTTCCACCCCCTCCACCTCTTCCCTGTCTTCCATTAGCAGGTCTACAGTAGAGCTGAGACGTTTGCCCGTTTTTTCTCTACACATTGTAATGACTGACATGTAAATAGTACCTGAAGAGGTGCTCGGACCTGGCTTAAGCGTCTGCGAGCAGATGGTGTAATTGTGGTGGTGCCAATGTCAAGAACGGATCAAGATCTCTTGGCGTTTTGTCGTCCCTCTAGACCCTTTCCCTCCATATCCATCTGCTTCCTCCTATTTGTGGAACATCTCACGTAAGATGAGATGGATGAACTGTTAACATATGGTCTGATGGCTGCGCATGAACTTGGCTGCCTTATGACTTGGTTTTTTCTATAGGAGGGCCCGTAATGGTCCGCTGAATTTGTTTATTTGCCAAGTTTTACAGTTTTGGGATTTTTTCATAGCGAAGTCTTCCTGCAATATATTCAGTGGTTGCAAATTCGCAGAAGTTCGAATTTTACCTTATCATTAAGAAAATCGTCGGGAATTTCAGTTCTCGTTGTGGGCGGACGCAGTGATCTTTGTGTACAGTGTCGACAACCAAGAAAGTTTTGAGCGGATTCGACATTTCTACAATCATATGAACAAGTTCCGAAACGTTGCCGATATGCCGGTGTTGTTAGTCGGCACGAAGGTTCGAATTGTTTTTGAATTACATTTGTAAATTAGGAATTTTTGGCTTTTCTTTTTATGAGCTCTCAGTTTCACTGAGTTTTGAATATGTGGTTACGATTTTTGAGAGAAGGGAGTTCTACTCTACCCGCTATTTGTCGGACAGATGTCCCACTGGACTCATAACAACTAAAGACCACCTTGACGTTACTTAATTAGAGGCTTGTTCAGGATACTCTTTCGGAAAAGAATCCACGAGTGATTAGCGAAGAAGAGGGCAAGCAGATGGCGAACCATCTGAAGCGTTGCGCTTACTACGAGACGTGTGCGACGTATGGGTTGAATGTTGAGCGGGTGTTCAAAGATGGTAAGTTTTCCTCTGAGAATGTTGGTAGAAACTATCGGTCATTTCCTGATACAAGGCTGAATGTTCACTTGTGTCCAAACAGTAGAACAGAAAAAGGTGAAGAGGAGCACATCATGGGCGAAGCTTTCGTGTATGGCTTCGTTTCCTTTTTGCTGAAAGTCTTAAAAATGACTTTTGCTTGCTTTACTAGGATTCTGCCCAAAACTAGAAGGATCAATGCGGATTTTGTCGACAGTTCATCATTTTCTTGAGAACTCTCCTTAAAAGTGTTGTGAATAACAGCAGAATTCATTTGTTTCTATGGCAGCATAGCCTGGTGTTTCTCACGATGTATGTGTTATTGCTCTGATTGATGCGACGTATTCCCCCATAAACAGGTTTCCCATTTTGGCTCTTATAACAGTGGTGGGAAAGCCATGCTTGAGCAGTTTGTTATGAGGAACTGGGGCACGCATTTTCCGCTTTCTAAATCCACTTCAGTTGTGTCAGTTTTCGGTCATTTGACTCGAATGGTCAATTTTAGTAGAGTGAGCATTTCTATTCTTTTTGAAGCGGTTTCCTGACCCCCCCCCCGCGCCAATCCAGCTTGATATGTGTTGTTTTGCTCCGTGGATGATGTTTTCTTGAGAGTGTTTGTCGTTTTTTGTTTGCAACAAGTTTTACACTGTCCCGCTGCTTGAAATGCGACGCAAATGTCTCCAGCTTGTTTTGAGGAAGAACGAAGAAAGACTCTGAGGGAGAACGTCATCGCTTCCACTCCGTGTTTTTCTGAGTGAAGGAGCGATTATTTGATTGATGCAGTCACTATTTTGCCTCTAATCACCATTAGTCTTTAAGTTCACTGCACGTCATTGGCCCCTACTTAGATGAGCTGTTTTCCCCTCAGTTTCCACTGCCATTACGTGATTTTCTAATGCGGTAGAGCTTATAGAGATCGTGTTCCATAGTCGTCGTACCGGAACGGATTTCATGTGCTATTAGTTGGCTGAAACGGGCGACAAATCTACTAAAGGCTGTCGAGCGTGTGTGAGTCATTATGTGTGGGAGATTTGCTAATGCGTAGAGTGTGTGGAGGTGGGCTGGTGGTGCTGCTGTGGCATTAATACGACTAAGTGCTCTTCATCACGTCGCCGGCTGCACCAGCTTCGTCCTTATTCAATTAATTTCTTTCTGGTGATGCAATTATTTGTGAGGATTTGTTTCTCATAAGCCTGACTGTCAAGCTATTTTAACATTTGTCACGGTCATAATCCTTGATCAATTGTGTGTGCGCTTTCCTTTCAGCCTCTTGCGTTTCTTTCGGCATGACTCATCCGCAGTCCCATCACCACACCTTGTTCCTGTGTTCTCTCACAGTTCCGGTAGCAATGTGTCAACGTTATACTCTTCCACTGAGGCGGTACTTGCTGGTTACTAATGCCTTCTTCTTTTGGTTTTTGAGCGACTTCGAATTATATCCGGTTTAAGAGCGCTTCAATATTGGCGCGGTCGCCGTTGCCTCCGATTAGCTTTCACGAAGTCACGGCGGCCGTTCGTTCGTGTAGATAAGTAGTTCCAGTTTTGTGTTCCATTCATGGCTGCCCATTCAGGCTTTCCCGGCCAGCACGCTAACATAATGTCCAACTACACACCTACATTGACATCGCTTTCAATTGCTGTGAAGTTTGTACTTCTGCCCCTTTTGTCCAGATTTGTCATCTGAACTCATCGCAATTCTGTGAGCTGTTTCGTGAGCTTCGATACTGGAGCTGTTTGAATGTGTCGCGGCTATAATGCGAGACGTTTGGTCTAGTGGGGTGTGACAAGAGCGATTTGTCTGGGTAGTCGTCGTGTTGTTAGTTTGCTGGCGACAATGATGTATCACCCTTCCTTGTGTTGTGCTTCTCAATGTACTGCGTTGAAATAATCCCCCAAGGATACGGTTGGTGACGTCTATTATCATTTCCGCCTCAACCACAATAACTGCATTCACCGATCGCCTTGTGAAGCTAAGCTTCTACTGGTCGCCTTTGAAGTAATCATGATGTGTTATAAGTATTATTCTCAAGGTTCCCGCATCTATGACCACAAGAGATTCAGGTACCTTTTTTTAACAGCCCTGTCTCTAGCCCTGTTTTGGAAAGATATGAATATCGCTGGGCTATTTGTTGTGCTCAAAGGCACAAACCAGGCAGAAGTGTAACCGATAGGATAGTCTGTAGGATAGACCCCTAGAGGACAGTCACTGACCGACATTTCTGTGCACGGAACCAACCCGACAAGAGCGCTAGGGCCTTGCAAAGTAAGCTGCTGCAGCTGCATTTTTTCTTTTATCAGGCTGTTGTCTGGCGCTCTCATCTGTTGCGCTCTCTCGCCTCATACTCTCCTCTCCGCGCTTAGTCTCTCATTCCCTTAGCACAGCCGATTAGGAAGGTGAGTGAGCCCTTAACCTAAGCGTTTTCGACGGATTCTTTTCCTTTTTCTTTACTGCCGGCCCATTTCGCACCAATACATTCGCATTCGTGTGCAAGAACCACACCATATGATCCTGGGGCCTGCCTCAATTATTCCCCTCCTTATAGCTTTTCACAATGACTCTGCTATTCGATTTGGTGAACGTAGCATCTAGCTGTTGTTGGTATTCTCGCCTCAATCATGTGAAGGAGGCAAAAACCTACGAGCACTTTTTTCAGACAATTTCAACACAAAGCTAGGGCATAAAAACATGATGTCTTCATATTGGCCATCGGTATCGTTCAAACATCGTGAAGAAATCCATTTGTGATACCCATTTTGTGGTGTGCGAAATGCGCGTCCATGAAGAGCAACCATACGCGAGCAATGTTTGTTCAGTGAGGCGGGAAAGTACTCGAAATTCTGCGACTATTCGTTGTCACATGCTTCATTTCAACGAGCGTAGGTCTTGTTGAGATTTCTAGGCCTTCAAAACACGAAAGTGACGTTTAGAAACGCAGGCGTTCAATCCACCCTACTTATCGTCTTAAGAATAAAGTCGATAAGGTAGATAATGCCGTCGATAACGCCCTTGGAAAAACTCTGTTCTCTCCCAAGTGACGTTTTCTCACAATAGTTGGAGTCTATGAGGGTGCTAGTTGTACATTCTCGTGTGCATTGTGATTTATTTCCTCTTAATATGTAAAATTTTGGAGATTTCTACCAAAACTTGAATTTTGTCCAGTTTTCACGGACAGATCGCTTTCTCTTTTCGATTTTGGACGAGATTTTACAAAACAATTCGTCTTCTACCTTTGGTTCTTCTTCTACTTAACAATGTCGATCTAAGCGCTTATCCTGTGTAAATTATTATTGGGATGAGATCACTGTTCAGCGCTCCCAGTCATTCTTCTGTTTGACAATCAGCACGTATCATGGTGCCAGTCACACAGTTTGAAAATGCAAACAAAGCCAAGCGACGTTGCCTCATCCAATTTCGTTCTCCGGCTGCCTATTGATTTGAAATACTTTAAAATCCTTAGAAACGAATTTGGTTCTGTGCTCTGTTTTGAATCTGATATATTTTATTGCAGCCTGCTGTAAAATTCTCCAACAACGTCTCCGGTCATCGTTCGGAGGTAGCACGCGAACGCCGACGCCGACCACCCCAGCGGCTCCTGATAAAAGGGACTATCAGGTGGGTTCTCCATCCATCTCGAAGCTTTTCCTTCCAGTTCCTTATTCCGTGGCCTAGCTAAAATTCATCAGTGGTGTTTTTAGGATCCGCGGTATATGCAAAACGTACTCTACGGTGCTGCTCCTCCTCAGAAAAACGCCTATCACCAACGCTCGATCTCTTCAGCTCCGTTGGCGGATCAGTTTATGAGTAGTGCCTCGCGCAAGAGTCACGTGCATCAGAGGGACGCTATCGGAGTCGTTAGCGGTTAGTTTGTTTTGATTTGAGAGTTGGAAGTTTTTCGCTAGACATCAATAAGCTTATCGAGCGCAAAGGTCGGATTTCGAAGGTGGTTTATTCGACGTCAACCTCATTCTAGCACGTTGATAACATCCGCGTGTTCATCTTCACTCTGTGTCCTACTTTCTTTTTGGTTTTTAGCGGTGCTTCAAGAAAGCAGAGATCTGAACATAAACGTAATCACTCCTCGCTGTCATTAACACGAATTCGCGTGATTCTCGATTCGCTCACGTGGACTTGCTCCTTGTTAGGGAAGTAGTCTATGTGGGCAGCTGAGAGAGCTCCCTGAAAGATCAGAATGCTGTTCTGCCTTTTTTCGCTCCTTAAGATTCCGGAAGATTTTGTGTTATTGGAGAAGTTTTGTAGTGTTTCTGGTAGATAGAAGAAAAACCGACGGCAAATTCTTGCTCAGCTTGGCTTAATATTTGGATCGTACGCGAGAGGCGTTTTGCGCTAAATCTCTGTTTAGGATTGTGGTAGTCACAAGCCTGATGCAAATCGTAGA